TGAACACGTAGCCCTCTGGGGCCGAAAAGAGGGAGGATGATCTGGTCATTTGGTGCATAAGGTAGGGAACCTTCGGGCACGTCTCCTTTTTGTGGGCTGCTTTAAGTGGACATATAGGGGTTGTTTTTTCAGGAATGTGGACCCCAAAGATTGTGTTTGTCTTCCCTGTTAAATCAGCCCAACCGGGTTTCTTGACTGGGATGTGCGGCAAGGTTTGTACGTGGTTAACCCATTGGGTTATAACCCACTAGGGAGACTTGCAAGTGGGTTAGAGCCTAGGTTACCAACCGAAACGTATTTCCCAACACAAAAGAACCCCCCCTGTTTTAAACTCCTGTCGACAAAAATGCCAGCTGAAAATGCCGTACCCCAACTGCGTGCTGAACTACCGGGTGCACCAGAAGTACACCAACCACCAGTACCAGGAGTGGTCCGGCTCTCAGAAACTGTGGGGTCTCAGAATGTAATTAATCTTACTCCCTGAGTTTCGGGACTTTATACTTTTAGGGAAGATCATGTTGGGTAAATACCAGGTTGACCAGCTAGAATAGTCTATTTGGTCGATTTGTCAGCGGACTTGGAAAGGACTGAACATTTAAGGGAAGGAGTTTAGAAGGTATATAAACGGGATGTAGCTGTTTGGACGTTCGGCCAAGTTAGTGAGTGGTCAGTCGCAAGTTGTACCACACTACTGACAGGGTTAGTGCCACCGGGGGGGCTTAATGGGTCAGAAGCTAGGTCGCCAGCAACTTACCAACTTGGCCGAGCACCGCTCTGGAGTCTGGTCTAGCGGTGTCTGTCTGGAATTCTTTGAGCCATCGGGCAAAAATGGCGTCCAATACGCCTCCGGACAATGCTCTCTCTTGGATTCCCACACTCCAAACATAGAGGGAGAGGTATCGCCACCTGGGGGTGTGCGACAATGAAGTTCCTTCCTGAGTCTTCTTTTTGGGTTGGAATTTGCATGTGTCTTTGATTGAGGAAACACGCCTATCTTTGGGTACTCTTATTTGCAAGACACGCCCATATGCACTTTCCCAAACTCTGTACGCATTGTCCGCAACATCTTTAGGGAGTATGCTTGTTTGAAGTAGCCTTGCAAAACACAAACAGAAAAGAGAAGCTAGAGCTGGCCCCGCCGGGAGGTGGGCAAAGCCCACCCCAGCTTGCCATACTGCGTGGGTTTCGGCTGCAAAGTGAGGAGGTTGCTCTTAGCTTCCCTCTACACCTCGACACCCAAAGGGTTCCTTGGTCTTCCAAGGACCCGTAATAACCGGGTCCTTGGCTTTGCTCTTATTTGCTCTTGGTTGACAAAGGACAATCAGCCAAAGGCCTGCTTTTTCAGGGTCCTGCACGGTCAAGGGTTCCCTGACAAAATGACACAGAGCTCGAATTCACGGGACGGTAGTAAGGACCAATATCTTTGTACCAGTCTTGGCAAAAACGAACTTGACGAGGTTTTGGATAGCGTTAAATTCGGGTAAGTCCATGCAGTGTGCCTTGATTAGTACAGCGTCTTGGCGTATCTCCATGGTTTCCCAAGTGACCCAGCCAGTTTTCGTTTTGGAACCTCCGGCGGCTCCATGACTATCTGAGAGGCTAGCCGGTCGAAACTGCCAAAACCACATGCTGACACTTGGCTCCAACTTTGTGTGGCAACTACTCTTGGTGATTATCTTGGTTTCATTCTTTCCAGTTGTCAGTTGGTCATGTATAGTCGCGAGGATGTACGGTGAACACTTTCTGACCTCTCAAGTCCAGTTCTGGACGTCTTGCCGCTTAAGTAATTCAGGCAGCCATGGTTATGACCCACTGCAAAGGGTGGAGCTTTGCAGCCTCTCAGTTTCCTGCATCCACGCCCTGGGTTGATGAACAACTGATAACTAGCCATCGAACCATTCGGCTGTGTTTTAAATGTTCACGCACAAAGTGGACCGCTTGCTTCACGAAATGGGGGTTTGTCTCAAAATAGAGGAACCCTGAAATGGATGGTTTCCTTTTGGTTTCCCTTTCAACCAACCCAAAAAGGACCCCCTCCAAAAAAATACACGCCCACGGAACATGAAGCTAGTTTGGCTGAGTTTCTCATATCCACCAATCCAGATCATGGCGAGTTGTGGTCAAACGAGCTCGCCATAGGTCCAATTTACTCGGGTCTTTGCCCACTGGTTCGTTTTGAAACGACGCGCTGAGGGACAAGGAATCCAACAGCTGGAAGACCTCGAGCCAGAACTCCATCCTCTTCGAGATTGACGGGCCATACAAGGCAAGCGGCGTGGCCGCGACTGGTTTTGTTGGGGCTGGTTGCATTGTTTTGTGCCCCGCTTCGCCCTTCTTTCGGTCCCCTTTAAAGGGAAGCAAGATGCAGGTTCTTGAGACATGCTTGACCAAGGGGGCGTGGCTAAACCGTGGTTTGGGGACGCTTGTGTTGCTGAGGTGATGTTGATGGAAGTTTAGGCGTTGATGTCTGGTGGTCGCTGTTCATGGCAAGCGTGTGGCACCTAGTGCTTCCAAAGATATTCTATGAAGCATGGAATTACATGGGGTTGTGTTTTTTGAAGGGTACACCTTTCAGGTTGGCCAAAGGGGACCCACAAGCAAGAGGACCATCTTGGGGGGCCCTTTTTTATATCACGTGGAGCTTTGTCGTCTCACCAATCTACAGTTGCCTATGAGCCAATCGTGAGTGTGTTGCAGAAGTATTTCTAGTGGCTGCGCCAGCAGCAAAGATCAAGGCACACTTACCAGCTGAGATACATTTTATGCGGGTGGTTGAACACGCACAACATGCGCAGATCCGTCATTGGTTTCTTTATGGTAGCCGTACATGGCCGTAATTGGCTTGGTTCCGTTCGACTTCCCTCTAAAAGCAATTCTCGAGCCTGGGGGCTTTGGCAATCCCAAATGTATGAAGGAGGGGCAGATATGCCCCTTGTTTGGTTCATTTTTAGTCATGCCCCCCAAAGCCTGACCTTTTGTTTTCAGGTCCTTTGGGCAAATGAGTTGTCCGTGCAGGTCTCCTTGGTATCATGAAATTCACAGCTGGCCCAGGCAGTTAAATAGAATCAAGCAGGAGTTCAAAATGGTTTTTATCCATTGCATCGGAGCAAAGGCCTGCCGCTTTTTGTCTTTCCAGCATGGTCCTTTTCAACCAGCACAAGGTTAACTTGCGGGTCTAAGCCTAAGTCTGGTCCAGATAGAAAGAAACCTGGTACCGGTAAACAAACGGCACCGTTGAACCCTGAGGCAGATTCGATGGCTTGCTTAGGCTTGATTCAGGCCTTAAAACTGGCAGCCTGCTTACTGCTCCTGGCGCAGGCGATGATCCTTCCAGCGAGCACGGAGGAGAGCATTCGGGATCGTGTGGACATGGCGCACACCGAAACGAGCGGCACGGCCTCTTTTTTTTAAGAGGGGGTCCAGCCGGTTTGACGCACTCAACTGTTCAAGCACAAATTCATACCACAGATGCCCGTTACCAAGCTTTGGCGAACTATGTCTGGCACTTGCAGCTCCTGTGCTGCCCTTTTTGTGCATTTACTTCCCTGCTCAACTGCATGTTGTGCTAGTTTGTTCCTTTTGATTTTTGTGTTTTTTCTTTTGGGCCTGCAAAGGGCCTTCAGTTTGCTGACATCGCTGACATATCAGGGATTGAATAGACAATGGGTGTGTCTTCAGATAGGGAACCCCAAACACGGTTGGTTTCTTTTGGGTGTCCCTTGAAGCAACACGCAACAGGGTACCTTGAGCAAAAGACACTGACATATGGCATCATTGCTTCCCGGGATGACGCCGCCGCGACGCCAGGTCAATTGCTCTGGATGTGTTTGTCGGCTTGTTTGTCTCTCTCTCTCTAAGCTGCTGTGGCAGCCGGTCTTGCAGGTTGTGATTTGCGGAGATTATCCTGCTTAGGTTCCTCATTATTGGCACGGAGCGTCTGAATCTTTTGTCGCATGCTATGTTGAGAGGCGAAATTGTTCGAACCCAGAGGACCCTCGTTTTGTAGAGGAAGCTGGCTTTGGGGAGTAGGTTTTTGTCGGGTTCAGTCTTCAGTGCATCAACATCTGGTGTTCTTTCCATAGACCTTGTGACTGAATTTGGTGCTAGGGCCCCTGCCATCGATGGATGAGCAGGGGTTCTAGCTTTGCGAGGTCACATTGCCCTTTTCAGTCAGCCCCACGTGAGCAGCGTCTAAAACCCTTCTTGTTGGGCCGTGGTTCTTCTGCCCGGGTTGTTGGGGCTTATAGGAAGGCCTGCATAAACCTTTGCGAACTTGTTGGAAGACCCCAACGTCCCCGTGCAATCTGTTGTTTGCTTTCTGAAGGCATCATTTCCTGCATTTCCATTCCGTCGCCTGCTTCCCGCCGATAGATAAGTCTAGCATGCTGGAGTCAGGAGTTTGCTCACATGGTTGCTCCGAACATCCAACACAACAGAACCGAAGCTTTGTTCGGTCTCCTTTGGTTTTCCATGTGGCCAAATGTTTGCCTGCCTTTTGGAGCAGTCCTGACTTACATGTAGTTTATGGCGTCAGCAGTAGGAATGAGAAACGCTTGCTTTCCCCAGCTAGGGTCCCTCGAGGCGCCCGCAATAGAACTCACCAGGCCGAACTACAATCCTGTTCCTCAAGCGGTTGCTTGGTAAGTCGGTAGTTCTCTTGGCTAACGCAGAGAAAGAGGACTTGTGTTTGCAGTACCTAGGTTACAACCACTCGCTTGCCAAACCGGACCGTTCAGCTACTCATGTTCTCTGTTGAAGCGAGTTAACATGTTGAGGTTCGCTGGAGTAGACCAGGATCATCCAGGGGTCAGAAGCTGAGGTAGGCCCGAGATAGTTTCCACTGCCCCCCCAAAGCAACTGCCCCCCAACCTCTAATTCCAAACAGGGTATATGCTCTTTTTATGGTAAGTATATAGTGGTTGCCTATCCCATGCTTCCGGAGTAGTGGAAGCCATCTGTGGTGGGAAAGCAGGTCAAGTCGGTTGCTTCAGGAAGACAAAATGCTCAAGAAGCGCTACGCCGTGTACAACTTCGACGGGTCGCACACCCAAGTTGGCGAACAGAAGCTCACTGAAGCTACCCGCTGAACTCATGGACCTTGTCTCCTTGCTTGGTTGGACCTTTCGCCTTCAACGTTTGGGAACATGTGTACTTCCCCACAACAGGTTCATTGTTTTTTGCGCTGGGGGCAATGGCCAGAGAGAAGCCATGGCTACTGGCTTGGCAACGAACATCCAGGAACAGAGTCCGATCCCGGGGTCCTTTGAGACATCGTCGCACATGACGCATGAGCCAAGAACGGGATAGTCCACCACGCACGCGGGTCCGATTGTGTAAGGAGTCTTGCACCAATGCAATTGAAGCCGCGCCCTTTTTGAGAGCGCCCGTTTCAGAATTAAGGGACACCTAAAGGACAACTATTCTGCGAGTCTCAAAATCGGAAGAACCCTAAAATTGTGCTCTTCCCGTTGATCTCCCTTCAAACCAGCGCAATCAAAGGCTGAGACTCAAAAGCACACCCACAAGGAACCTGGTGACTCACTACATTTTTACCCGGACACAATCATTTGCGTAAGGCCCAATTGGGTCTGTCTCAAAATCGGGGGGCCTGTCTCAACACTCTGGTTCCTTTTCTTGGTGGCTCCCGGCCCTCCGGTTCCTTATAAAGTGTCTTAGCTTTTTGGTTGGTTTGGTGACGTTGGGTTTCCAAGACATACACCACCAGCTTTTCTCACTTTCAGCAGGGCATCTGAAAACAAAAACATCACTCACGAGCCCTGAGCCTCTTTTTTCTTCTTCCGATCTGAAAAAGCACCGGACCTGCCCGATCTGTTTCTTCTCCCTGAGCCCGGCGAGCCGAAAGCCGGGGCCCGTTTCAGCGGAGGTCGCTGGCGGAGCTCAAGGGCTTCGAGGCCCGGGAAGACGGGAAGCGGGCGGCTGAAGACAAGGAGACCCCAATGACATGCCAGGAGAACCAAAAAAGAAGTATCTGAGGCAGGGCTCCTTAAAAGATACATTTGGTCCATTTGAAACATGGCTTTTTCCACGCAAATAAAAGGAAATCACCATTTACAAGGCAATGTTCAGGTGTATAGTGTAAGGATCCCTGTGAGGCTTTTTTTGGGGGTTTTCTCTTTGATTTTCTTTTTGGGGGGTTTTGGGTGGTAATTCTCCCCGACTTTTAAAGAGTAAAGTGAGGCGTGGTTTTTGAATTGGTGGGCATTTAAGTGGGAATTTGTGTACAACCACTTTTTGAGGTGGTTCTCCACTAACAATTCCTAGCCATTGGGGGGGGAAATGACGGAGGTCTTCCATTTGGTTACTTTTTGGGGCTCTGGGCATTTCTGTTGCTCGTTTCAGATTAAAACAAGACTGGCCCATTGTCTCCCGGTAATGAGCGGAAGTTGGCAGGAAAGGAGCGGAAATCAGCGGGAAATGAGCGGAAATTGGCGGACAAGCACTCCAATTGAGGGTTTGTTTTCCTAGTTTAGTGTTTTTTGCGTGATCTGAGTTTTTTCTTGCTGGAAACAACAAATCGAAAACTAGGTGCTCATGAAAGACCTAGGTATCAGGTTGATGCCAGTGGAATCTGATCTAAAGAACGGATCTTCTGCAGGTTTGTGGACTCAACACCTTTGAAATCGCTGGGGCTGAGGGTCCAAGGGGTTAAGCGCAGGTATCCCCAACAGTCCTGGAACTCCCTGGAACCAAATCTCCTTTTGAACCCTCCCTGAAAGCTGCCCCGAGTCTATCCGGGCAAAGACATTGCCTTCAGCTGTTGGGGCAAAACGTAGAATGGCCAGGTGTGTCTTGTAAATCCCTTTGAGTTGACCAGATTTGACTGAGGCCGCATGTCAAACGTTATTTGCCGTCACGCAGGATCGCGATTTGGGAAGATGACAAGGGTTCCCGGTTCCCCAACGAACTTCTTGCGTCACCCGTTTACCATGTTTCAGGGACTGGCACAATTTCTGAGAACGAGCAAGAGGTGAATTGACTTGTGCTTGGCGTTCGATCAAAATACTCTGGGTGAATTATAACGACCTCACATGATCTCACCCGAAATGGTGCTTTATGTGGGGAATATTCCCCCAACCACCTTATTTCAGGTTGGTGGAATATTATAATTCACCCAGAAATACCGGCTTGGCGGTGGTATTCGCCAACATTCGAGCTTTATTTGTCGTTAAGCGATGGGTACCAGATTAGTCTATCCGAAGGCGATCCTGAATCCTCATCTTGGGTTTACGAAGGTTCCCATTTGTAGTGGCTTCCGAAGATCTAGGCATGGACTGGGATTGAATGGCCAGCACCTCATTTATCTCCATTTTGAACAGCTCAGAAAGTGGCTTTCATTTGCTTGGCTGCGTTTTCCCTGTTGATATTAAAGGAAATGACAACATCAATTGGAACACCCCGACACGTTCAGCAAATGCAATTAACTGGAATTTGCCGCCCCAATATTGGATGTCGCGAGGTAAGTAGCTGCACACACTGTTT